TATTATTGCGGCCAAGCCGCCTAGGGGTAAATGTATCTCTTTAACTATCTAGCATAGTTAAAACTAATCAAATGCATAACGTGTGGCTTTCAGCCAACGTACTGAGAGACCTTGTTAACTCTCCAACTTATGTACTGAGAGTTTGTTAACTCTCCGGGTACTTCGTACCCCTGTGTGCTCCACACCATGTAACCCCGTTACATTGAGTCTCGACACATGCACTACTGGGTAAAAGCGATACCCACTTCGGTCAGGCAGTTCCAGATCGTACGCAAACTCTTCCACCTTGCGCTTGATCCGAAAAGGTCCATGCCACAGGTGAGCTAATTTCTTCGTCAATCCCGGTTTGACGCGTTCCATGTACAGCCACGCCCGGCTTCCAATCTCAAATAGAGATCTCGGTGGGGCTCTTGCCGGGTCTTCCATCTCTTCCGAAGCTTCTGGAGGGTCCGCTGAGTGTTCGTTTCCACTTGGTTGAGGTACAGCGGCTTTTTCCAGTCGTCTCAGGGCATCATTATGCTTTTTAGCCCTTCGCTCCTTTTCTACAGCCTGATAATCTTTGGCCATAGTGAGGGCGACCTCATGTTGTCGATTAATCTCACGCCGCCACGCTAGTACGTCAGACGGCTTGCCGAGTCCTGGTTTGAGTGATGACGACATTGCCCTCAACGTCGACTGAACATCCCAACCGTGAACGAGGTAGAACGGCGTTTCCTTCCTCGTAGTGTCTTGAGAAGTATTAATAGCAAACACTAGATTCTTCGCGATTTCGTCCCAATCTTGCTGTAGAGGGTCTTCCGCGTACACCCGTACGGAACCCATCACCAACTCTACCGAGCGTTCCTGTTGTCCGTTAGCCTGTGACCGATAGCTCAAAGTCGCCCGTGATCTTGACTGCATCATCTCTGCAAATACTTGGAACACCTCGCTCATGAAGCGTGGGTCGCGGTCGTGCCTTATCAGTGGTGGGGCTCCGAGCCGTCGGTACACACATTCTTCGAACACTTGGGCAACACTCAGTGCAGTCGTATCTGACATAGCCTTGGCAATAACGATTCCCGTAAACGAGCACTGAAATAGGAGCAACGCGTGTGCCCCTGCGAGATTTCGGTAGTGGGATCAGGGAAACCATTAAAACCCATCCAAAACGATTCGTTAGGGTCGTTTCGCTTAATAAAGTTGCCAGGTGGAGTAATCCCCGAAACTGGCGGAAGGGCTTTTTACTTCAGCTGTCCATCTGGATAGGAATTTCCAATGTTCTCTCCCCAATTCTAGCTAAAAGCCGGAATCCATAATAATCCGGACTCAAAGCGAAGGGAAAGCTCTTCACCACACCCTGGTGCTCATCTTCCCGCGAGTCGTGACGTTCTGTGGGACCTCTTGAATCATCGTTGTTGGTACTACAAGCCGCAGCGTGGTCTCTTCTTACCAACCGTGGTCGTACCGACGATTCAATCCAAGATAGTGAAGCACGCCGTCTTCTGATAACACAAACCGGTCAGCGTACTTCCAGGCATCTCGAGCTTTTTTGTAACTCAGCTCTTTTGCTTGGCCCTGAAGCACCTTCTTGATGTTAAACCACTTCTGCTCCTCGGCTTGAGCCACAATTATCCGTCTGCGTCGCTCCCGCTGTATCGCTACCGGGTCAACATCTTCCGCATCGGGAAATGCCGCTGGTATAGTCTTGTGAGGATAGTCTGGCAAATCTTCGCCGATTGAATCTTCGGTAGTATCTTTGAACTTCAACTTGCGCCGGGCGCGTGGATATGCCACATGGTGGCTCTTCAACTTCACTGTATCTTGTGATACATGGTGCCAGAAAGTCCAAAGACCCCACACCTATTGTGGTAAGGGGAGGCATAGGTTCTTTACCCCCATGAGACTTCTGAGTTTCTCAAATTGAGTTTGAGGTAGTGCCTTTGTGAGGGCATCTGCAATCATATCATTTGTGTTGCAGTATGAAACTACTATTCTTCCCTTATCATGAATCTCTCGAGCATACAGTCATTTGATATCAATGTGTTTTGTCGATGTATGATTTGCTGGGTCTTTTATAATACTAATTGCCCCCTTATTATCACACCAACACATGATCGGCTGTGTTTGCTTAAATCCCAATTCCTCTAATAGTACCCATAACCATTCGCTTTCTTTGATACCTTCACTCGCGGCAATTAGTTCAGCCTGCGCTGTATGGAGGCTTACAGTACTTTGTCTTGAACTTTTCCAAGTAATACACGCGTCTGCCATAATGCTCACATACCCAGTTACTGACTTTCGGTTCTCATTAGCATTCCCGAAGCTCGCGTCTGTGTACAGCTCATATATCACTTCCTTACTTTTCCCGCCAAATACGAGTCCGTACGTCGACGTCCCTTTCAGATACTTTAGTACTCTCTGGGCTGCCTTGTAATGGCTCTTATTATAGCATGACAGGAATTTACTTATTCTCTGATAGCATTTGCTATATCTGGGCGTGTACCACGTACAAGGTACATCAGTGAACCCACTAAACCTCTGTAATCGAATGGTTGTGCTGAGATTTCCTCTGGACTTAATTTTTCCTCTTTCTCAAGTACTATACTCTTTGCCTGTGGTGTTGATTCTGAGCTACAATCAGTCATATCGAACTTTTGTAGTAAGTCCATTATATACTTGTGTTGGGACATACTCAGAATCATATTTGCCCTATCCCTCTTAATCTCTATCTTCAGTAGATAATGGATACCACCTAGGTCCTTCATAGTAAATCTAGAAGCCAGTTGGCTC